GAAGCTTAACTACAATAAATCCTTCTTGGGCTACCGGCTGTGTAAGGTGGCTCAATAAGGAAAAGAACCTTTTTTAAGAATGTGCATTTTTTCAGTGGCTAACCATTAAATTCTAAATTTAAAAATTCAAACTGCTCCAGAACTATTACTTTTAAGACAACGACCCTGATTACAAGAGAACAGAAGCATGACACAATTACATTTCTCATCGCGTAAAAGTAAAAACCAAGTTTAGTTTTCTAAAAAGTCGTACCTAAAGATCAGAAAATATTCGACAATATAAGCTGATACTGGATTAATGTTTGTGAAATAACCATCCTTATGTAACTACAGTGATGAAAGGTATCAAATAAAAACAATCATCGGCAAGCACGCTACAGAGGACCAGTTTGTTACGCAGCTGCCCTGAAGATGAGAGCAGAGATGGCTCTCAAAACGTTGGCAGAGGATATGGTTCATTCACCATTCAGCCACCTGATGTGGCTCGTAGCCCTAAGAATCTTTCATTATATTTCTACACAAAATTGTAAATGAACACTGATTACTAGAATAAGTAAGTGATAAGAACATTTTACATAATGAAAAACCTGTATTTATATTAGATTCAAAAGGAAGTCAGATCAGCCAAACTCCTCTTTCTTACTGTGCAAGTACAAAAATCATTTCAAAACACGTTTATTATTTCTATTCGTTTTCTACGTTGAGTATCCCTTCTGGTCATATTTGTAATTTTGGTTCCGAGCCCTCTATTAAAACAACATGGATCAACTTCTGTTATACAGTGAATTTAAAAGACAAATAAGGAGCAAATTTAATCTAACCATGAGGTTGCAAGAGGGAATTTAAATTATCTTATCTCAAAGGTTAATAAAATTAATTACATTACAACTCACAAGGTAGCCAGTGGCAGGAAAGAGATTTATTCCATTAATGATATATCCAGATAAATATTTCGCTGATCCATCCTCTAAGCTGATAATCACAGATCGTTCGCCAGATTTGGCACTCGGCTGTAACAGAATCACAGTACGGACATGCATAAAGAGCAGCGGAAGAACATATCTCAGTAGAGTGGAAATAATGATTAGATGTGACTGGAAGTACACATATCTGGAACAACGAGCAAATAGAAGACACAGATTCCACAGCCACAACCACAACCCTTTGGATATTGCAGCATCATTTTTGCAGCTGACCATAAGATACAGAAGTTTACGTTTATTGTATGAAAGGACTTGTTCTCCATCCTTTGGTTTAGTCGTAATAAGGATCTATGGAATGTAAATAAACTCTACGCTCTAACATACCTGAATACTGCACTTTCCTATCCAAGTCACAAACACTCCAGGTGCCTCATTCTGTCTGGTTCTTCACATCTCCAACTCCAAATAAGCTGCTTCCCCATCACGCACACAACTGATCTTCTGAAACACTGACATTCAGATAACTTTGTCTGCCATCTCTTGGTAATATTACTCCACACACTACAGATACAGTTCACGAGAAAGTTGCCACTAAGCACATCCCCTGATCTCAAACTCCTCTTTCAGACAGACAAGGCACTCACACTGAATCTATAACCGTACACCTCCTCCGAAAGCAAGGAGATCACACGAGGGCCTGAGGTCTTCCTTGTGGCATTGTGAGGCATGCTACTAACTCGTGATACTTGGTCACTAGGAATCTAAAGTGTGCGACCGTGGTGTGGTGGCCACATAACCAACATTACAACCTGTAACCCTAGCTGATTACTTCTACCTTGTCCACTGCGATAGGCTCTTACACAAACTTAAATAAACAGCTACTGAATTTCCACAAGCAAGTCACTAAAACTGAGGCTGCCAACACGTGTCTGTGGATCATCCCAACCGCATCGCCTGATGAATTGTGTCCATCATGCACAATGATCATGTCAGCTCCCGGTGCAAAGTCTTGCTACCTCTGTAGTAATGATGGACTCGTAAATGCGTAACGTCTATAGTATCCCATATGCTTGCAGGCACGCCTACCTGAAACAAAACCATGTACCGAAATAAACATCCGCATTGAGAGACCAGTATTAATTCTTACTACGAAGGCACTCTACACCACATTAATGATCAACTGGCCAACTAAACCGACCTTCCATGCAACCAAAATATTTCTCACTTTACGTCCTTCACACAAAGATGACACACATCAATTCTAATAAAATCAAATTAACTTCCACGCCATGGCAATATATATATATATGACAGTGAATCTGCACTAGACTCGTAATGCAGCCCACGATCACGCCGACCGCAGAATTCGCCATTCTCCTCATACGCAGGGACGGCAACGTCGAAAAAAACAGCGAACACATCCCGCCACCGCTGAACTAGCGATATTCGATGATCGTTATATGTCCACCCTGACGAAATCGTTATATGCCCACCCTGACGAACTCTTCTGCCATCTAACGACAATAGACAAGAAGTAGATGTCCTACCTAGCACACTCCACTGCACTGCCGAACGAAATGCTGCCTGAAATACCACTCCACAAATTGTAAAATCATAAGCAGAAACGGGGTTGCTGGAAAGTACTTCCGTGACCGCCATTAGTTACATCTTAGCCCTTAAAAATGACAGGAACTACAAACAAATGAAGGCGAAACACGCCTACCGTCACCTATAAGAAACCAACTACCAAACATAATCATAACCTAAAATCATTTATGAAACCAACCACACGGAACAACACCTAGGATCGTAAACTACAGCTCAATCAACTTAGCACGAAGCACTATGAAACAAATAACACACATTTCGCCACTAGATCGTCTAAATTCTGGCACACATTGCCTCTTGGTCACCCGATTTGTTACTTAACCCAGCAACGTTTAACACCCTGCTTTGATCAAAACCAGACACAAATCTTTAATACCTACACAATTATCTATAACACAACACACCGAGTGAAAGCGTCCACTGGTAACCGTACTCTCGGACACGAACTTCCCCTCGTCAGACTTCATGTTGGCATGTAGACACTCAACACGTCACGCGGATTCAGCAGCGACATCTCCCTGTTTATTCAATTGTTGGAACTAAATTTGCAGAAACTAAAGGTACAATTTGACTGCACGCGACAGAGACAAGCGACCGAGGCAGGCGACAGAGACGGGAGACGGACACATTGCAGCTTGTCTTCAAACACTTCTGAGGTGACGACCGAGACATGCGGCAAAGTGTTTGTTTTCTTTGTTTTGTTGAGACATACGTGCACATATTCTGTGAAAAATGAGTACACAAATGCTTCTAAAACGGTTACTCGAAGAATAAGAAGAAGATGATGTGTTGCTGTGTTTTTTGTTGCGAAAGAATCGAAGAAAACCTATGAGTTCAATATTCAAAACCAGACGTGAAGAAGGTTCTTTCTGTCGGTGGTCGGTTTTCTGCTAGTAATTCTACCAATTGCTCATCTTGGTCACCAGTAAATTTAATTTCTGCTATTATTTTAAATAATATTTTAATATTTAATAAAATATTTTATTGTGATTAGACGGTTAAAATTAAACAATTATAATCATCACAATATGACGCAACATTATCATTTCATACGATTGTACAGAGAGCAGACAGGAAGCGACCAGTCTCGGTCTCGCAACTCTGTCGCCTGCCTCGGTCGCTTGTCTCTGTCGCGTGCAGCCAAATTGTACCATTAGTTAGCTTTTTGGTTGGTAGGTTGGCTTCCGTTGTCGCATTGTGCGTTTGGAGAAGCGTAGTGTTTAAGTGCGTGTTGGCATTAGTGTATAGTATAAACAGATAAATCCAACGTAAAAGCTATGAGTGATACGGACGATGATTATGAATTTCTTCCACAACAGTTGGCGAAATATACTTGTTCTGAGGTGAATGTAGTTTCTTGTTACGTCGCACGGAAATTTTAATGTATGTTAAGTTCTTTTGGAAGTTGTTGAAGAAAGCAGAAGCCAATATCAACAGCAGGATTTTTTTTCTAGTTGTTCTTTATTATGATTTGTCGTTTGTTTAACCACACTCACAGTATCTCTGATTTTATTGTGGTTAATATAAGGCACAATCCAGGTGTGTTAGCCATCAGGTACTAATGATAATCATGAAAACCACATTTAACTTGAACATTGGCATTGTCAGAGGTTCGACTAGAACTTCGGGCCTCAAGAAAATGAAACACGAATGCTGCAGCTTGAGAGTTGTTATTAACCTGTAAAAACAAACCTCATGCATTTCAACTGCAGTTAAACTACATGAGGTTTGTCATTATATTAACGTTGCTTATTAATAATACAGTGGGTCATCATCCTGACACAAAGCATAAAGACAGTAATTGATTTTACAGATCTGTTTTTGGGCTGTCCCAGGTTCAATTCTGAGACCTGAGACTAGCTGTCCTGACTGTTTTTGTGGTTTTACTCAGTCTCTCCAACAAATGCTGGGATAGTGCCTTAAATTAGGCCACAACCACTTCCTTCCACATCTTTTTCAATTCAGTATTCACTATTATCTTCTCATTAACACTTTTTAGTCTGAGCTACTGAAAAGTGGTGTTAAATAAACTTTAAATAAATACATGTCTATTACCATTGTAACTAACCTTCTGATATGATAGTGGTGTGATGTGTTTTGAGTATAATATGAATTTTACTATGAAATTCCTCAATACTTTTTTACAAAACAAATAGTACTAGTTCATCTGTGAAATTGTAGGAGAGAAAAATTGTCCTTGATCCATCAGTGACTCTTGCCCAGCGGGAGAAACTTGCAGAGCTGATGAAATTCACAGAACTTGGTAAGTTATTCTTAATACTATGTTTTAATGATCTTGATATTTATAAGTTTAAGTGTTTTTATTATTGTAATGTGCATATATTATGCAGTGGCATGTCATTTGTAAGCCTCTGCTACTGTCAAATGTGATCTAGACTGATGTAATGCTGTAGGTTGAAACCAAACTGAGCAAACAAGATAAGACAAGTATTCAGACAAGGTGAGATAGAACATCTTGCCTGAACACTGAACTAGCAAGGGGGGACAAAAACACAGGCAAGTTGTTGACAACAATATGTTGATCAAAAATAAAGGCTGGGCTGTATGGTGGTTTTTAGAACTGGAATAATTAAAAAGTTTTGAATGCTTCCTATTATGAAGATGAAATCAGCCAGAGGATTTAACTTCTTTTTTTAAGAGTTTGCTGAGACAGGTTTAATTTAAATTTCAAAATCTTTCTTTGTATGAAACCACAAACTATTAACTGTTTTCTGGTACATGCTGCTTAATACTCAGTTATATGCTTCTGCAGATCAGTTTACACATGTAAGTGGCAGTGTTGGTCCATCTGATCAAGCTTCCATTCCTAAGCCGCAGCAACCAGTGATCCAGCTTGTAAAAACCAAGCATCCTTGCAGAACTACATTCATACCTGAAGATATCTGTTGTTTATTCAGCCAAGGTTAGTCAGTGTATGATTTAAAGCTTTCACAGCAGCAGACGTTAATAAAATCTCAGGCTGACAGCCATGTTAGTTGGTTGAAAACATTGGTGACAGCTAATGGTCCAAGAAGATTTTATTAATGTTGGTTAGTCGTATTTTACATGGGACTTTAGAGGAAGTTGAAGGTCACGTGTTACATGAAAATATTTAGTAGGTCTCAAAAACCGGGCAATGACATACAAACACTTTACAGTTTATAAATAATTTATACCCATTCATTACCTACTTATAAAGAAAATGCCCACATCACTCGTCATGAAACAATAATCTGATTGACCTCTTTCTGGGGCATACCTAACAGCGTAGTGCGACTTTCATTATTACCCACCTCCATGAAACATTGCAGTCAATATAAGCCCAGAAAAGCAAGATAAGAGGGAAATAAGTTTGTTCATTTGTTTGAGCATTAATACAAAACAGGTTTTCAGAAAAATTTATAACCCCTACGTTCCACAAATACTTTTTGGCTGTCTGTATGGTTAAGTTGGCAGGTAGTGCAAATTAATTTTATGTGAGTCATTTTCACCAGTACAGATTATCGTTTATTTAAATTTGTCAGGTATGACATTCAAGTTTAACATTGAGATTGTATGTATAATTTTCATCATATACATGAAAGTACATGATTTTTATGCATGCATGCATAAAATTTCAGCGACATAGTAGCTTTAGTGGATTATTTTATTGTTTACTGCCATTAAACTGAAAGCTAAATACAAAGTAACTCTCGGGTAGCAGAACCCACAGGTCCAACACCGACAACGCCATCTGCCACTAGACACGATCCTGGGCTAACTCCATCCATTTTCCATCATCACAGCCCACCTCCCTAAGATCCATCTTGATATTATCCTCCCATCTCCTTGGTTTGCCCAGTGGTAGTTCACCAGAAGGATTTGGTATGCCCCCCATGCGTGCTACGTGCACATCCCATCAGAACCTCCTAGATTTCGCTATCCTCACTATGCTAGGTGACTTGTACAATTCATGTAGCTCCTCATTGTGTAGTATTCTAAATTCCCCACTTATTTCATCCTTCCTAGGTCCGAATAGTTTTCTAAGCACCTTTTTTCAAGCCCTTGTAACGTACGTTTTTCCTTCAAGGTAAGAGACCATGTTTCCCACCCATACAAGACAGCAGGCAAAATAATCTTAAGTGTTTTGGACAGCAAACAAGATGATAACAGCTTCTGAATTTCCAAAAACAAGCATTTCCTGAACGTGTTCTAACCTTAATTTCATCATGGACCTCATTTCTGTTTGCTATTGTTGTTCCCAGATACATTTTGAAACATTTTCAAATGACGTGTTAGTTATAATTATGTTCTGCTGTTGATCTCATATTATGCCCACGTATTTAGTGTTGTTTACATTTACTTCTGGGCCTATTTCTTTGCTAGCCTGTAGGAGAGTTTCTGCATTTTTGGTTATGGTACCCACACCATCCCCCAGCAAACTGACATCAGCATATGTGAGTACCTCATGGAGACCATTCAATTCAAGCCCTTCCTAATTTCCTCTGACCTTCCTCATGACATGTTCTAGTGCAAAATTAAAAAGCATTGGGGATAGAGCCACTTGGCGCTCACAACGGATCTGACAGAACGTTACCTATACAAACTCTACTAGATACACATCTTAATTAACCTAACTAGTTTCTCAATCAAAATTCCATTCAGTACCTCTCTTCTAGCTGAGTCATACGCATTCCTAAAGTCCACAAACATTATACTCTGACATTTTCTCTAATATTTGCCAAATGCAAAAGGTCTGATCAATAGTTGACCTATTACAGCAGAATCCACATTGACCATCCCCGATAGTTTCATCATAAATGGAGTTAATTGTGCCAGAAGACCATTCGATAAACTTTTGTATGACGTTAATAAAAGAGACACACCTAGGAAGTTACTGCACCTGTTTTATGGATAGGGACAACAATTTATTCTTTCCACTGTTGTAGTTCCAAATGAGACTGTAAGCTTGCAGTGCCCTACCACCTGCATGGATTAATTCCACTGAAATTAAGTTGGTACTTGGAGATTTGTAAGGTTTTAATTTCCCAATGGAAATTTTCAACTTCATTACGGATTAGTCCCAGGATAAGGGCTCTTTAAATTAATCAGCTATGCAAAGGTCAATTAGCGTATTAGAAGTTCTCACTTTGCCGGTGTTGGTATTGTTGAGGGCAGGATATTGCAGGTAGAAAGGTGGGATAGCCTCTAGGAGGAGGATGTCCATGAAAATTTTGTCATTTATTTGAAACATTTGGATTTGCCAAAAGTTGCCCAGATAACCTGCAAATGTAACACTTCATTTCTATTTCTTTTCAGATTCTTTTAGTATTCAGGACTTCGGGATTCCTCGTACTAAGTTCACGGACAGGCTCTGTTCTTTGAGCAGCCATGAGCTGCATGAACGCATCTGCAGACATGAACTCAAGGTTTGGCATGCGTGTCGCATTAACCCTGTATCCTGTGTTCTGTGACAAAACATTGCAGTGTAGTAAGTAGAAGCGTTCCTGCACTGTGTTTCTTAGTGTCCCACTCTTAATTTCATCCAAGACACTAACTATCCTGACTCAGGCTGTTTTTGTTTTTCCTAATTTCATCCAGGAAAATGACATAAAGACCTTCAATGTGTCCCAGAAAACATCTTCCAAACCTTGGGTGGTTATTTACAGGCTCATTTTGAGTGAAAAATTATTAATGTGGATCGGAATCTGAGCTGTATTATACGAGGGTGAGTCAAATGAAAACCGTAAAACTGAGATAAAAATTCGAAATATCGCGCCATTGTCCTATAAGTTGGCAGACATGTTACCAATGCTATAAAGAGTAACCTATAGGTGGTAGTATAATGCAGACAAACATATCGCCATCACAGTGCCAATTTGAAAATGGCTGCTCCACTAGTTACGTGCACGAAAGAAGAACAACGTTCTGTAATTCGTTTTTTGATCAGTGAAGAATCTTGAAGAATCATCTTCGACCTGCAGTCAGATCAAAGCGACGTGGACTTTTGACTAGAGGTGTCCTTGACATGACAATGCTCGGCCCCACTCTGCCGGTGCAACAGTTGCAACAATCCAAGACTTGCACTTTGAGTGTCTTCCACATCAGCCATACTCGCCAGACCTAGCCCCAAGTGATTACCACATGTTTGGGCCACTCAAAGAGGCGATGGGAGGAAAGAAGTTCCGTTCTGACGAAGAGATACAGCAGGCGGTGCATGAGTGGTTGCGCAGACAACCACAAGAATTTTTTTCTAGAGGAATCCATACACTTCGTAAACGCTGGAGGGCCTGTATTGAACGAAATG